AAAAGATAGGAAAAATCATACAAACTATTAGAGAGGTCAGGATAACGTAAGGCATTGCGCGCCACTAAATGGGCCGTCTGATTCGCTTCTCGAGGCGTAAAAATAAACCTAACATTAGGAAAGAGGCAAATAAGATGATAGATCTCCCTCAATATAGCACCCCCATACGTGTCCCATTCCGAACGAGAATGCAGACGAGACACAACTAATTCGGAATCCCTTGTGACAAGAACTGGTACCGAAAACCATCGCCAACGGTGAAGCAAGTATAATGCCTCACGAAAAGCGAGTAATTCCACAATGAAAGGATCTAAAATCCCAGGCAAGTAGCTCCCAAATGCAAAGCAAGGCCTGGAGTCTTGAAAACCAACAATTCCCAGAGATCCTCCACGTGGAGAATTTGTTGCACCGTCAACGGCCAAGCGAATGCCCTGTGTAGGAAGATGTGCATGTCGTCATCGATGCTGAGGCAGATGATGTGGACGCGCTGGGTGCTGAGGATCGATGTCGGCTGAAGCTGCTAGGTGGATATTCGCTAGGTGTGCAAGATACTGGCGATGTAGGATGGGTATCGTGAACTCATCATGTGGGAGGAAAACGACATTATTACGACCTTTCCATAATCTCCAACAAAGCAAAATCCTTTTCGTAATGAGATCAGAATCACCGTCCCTGAACAAAGCACGCCAGAAAAGCGAGAAATGGAAGTCCGGCGAAAAATTATTCGGCAAATGCAGGCCAACTGACTGGCACAGAGAGATTGCCACTGGACAACGGAGAAATAAATGTTCAAGAGATTCCCCCTCCTCCGAATCGCACACATGACACAAATTCACCAAATCTACACCATGAATCTGAAGATCCTCCCGAACCGACAGAATGCGGAGTAGGATACGCCATATGAAAAATTTCAGCTTGGGAGTGATTGCAAAATGCCACAGTTTGGGCACAATGGCATATGATCTAAAGGAGAAGCTGTGTTTTTTTTTTTTTGTTAAGGGTGATATAATATTATTTGAAAAAACAAAGAAAGTACAGATCAACAAGAAAGGGGGAAGGAAGGGGATGTCAAACAGGTACATAAAAGAGGGTCATCCGCAACCCAGAAAGCTTGCTGGGGGACAGCTCAAAACACTCGGAAGAAAAGCACCAGCAAGGACTAACTGGAGAAGAGCCTTCGTTTCAGCTCATAGAGCCAAGTGACAGCCACATGATGATCGACCTTTTTTGCTGCAGTCAGCCACTAGAAGACATCATTACCAATCTTGTAGACTAGTTGACGGGTCGTCGCTTCTGTGTCATCAAAGATTCTCTTATTCTTTTCTAACCAAATCGCCCAGCAAACAGCATGAATCGCAACCCTCGAGCACCACTGACCTGGAACCTTTGAATCCCCAAAGCGCCACTTCTTGATTCTTTCCGAGATATCCTCCACGGCGGTAGCAGGTCCTTCGATCTTGATGAAGAACTTCAGGATGTTCCACACGTCAACGGAGAACTTGCAGTTGATGAAAATGTGATCAACCGATTCTTCTTCTTCCTTACACAAAGCGCATCGGTTGGGAAGGTTGTAACTCTTCTTTTTAAGATTGTCAAGGGTGAGGATCCTATTATGAAAAACCAGCCACAGGAAGATGAAGACTTTGCTCGGCACAACAGCTTGCCAAACCACCTTCGCCGGAAAGTCACCACTGTCTGGGAATTTAGCCGACGCGAGCTGTTCGTAGGCCGAATGAACAGAGAAGCATGCCTTCGGCTCTGGCTGCCAAACCACTCGATCAGGACATGCAACAAACAAGGAAGAAGGGAGGGAAACCAGCAACTCATTAAGTCTCACACGCTCTCTCGACAGCACCCTGAACAACTAGATGCTCCGCAACTTTAGCACTCGGGGACTCCATTGTGGCCAGAACTCGTGGAAATTCATCTGCTAATCGGGTACCGCTGATCCAAGTATCGAACCAGAACGAGGTCCAATGTCCAGCCCCAAGGTCAATGGCCGCCAATTTCCAGAAGTCCTTCTGCAACTTCATAATTTGTTGCCAAATGCAGCTGCCCGACCTCCCCTGCCGATTCCCAGCCACCCATTCAGAATCAGGATTAGGGTACTTAATTGCTATAAACTCCCTCCACCAGCTGCCTCTCTCTTTCGCAAACCGCCATTGCCATTTGTGGAGAAGGGCCTGATTATGAATTTCTAAGTCCCGAATACCAAGCCCTCCTTTTAGCAGTTTTGCAAAGGCCCCATGAAACTAAGTGAAGTTTGACCCTATCTTGAGCCCCAGACCACAGGAAATCCCTCTGTGCTTTTACGTGGAGCCGCAATCGGCAAGCTGGGATACAGAGAAGTTGCCAAATGATATGTCGATTTAACCGAAAACACCCCGTGAGAGTCAAAGTGCCAAATTAAGCGATCCATATCTGCAACCCTCAGGAGAGGAATAGCGTAACCGAGCATGGTTCAAAATACAAAAGCAATTTTTGCATGTCCCAGGATTGTGTTGATGCGTTGATGAAATAAGACACGTGGCGGGAGGTGTCTGGAGCTGTTGGTAAGCATTGAGGACGAAACCCAGGTAAGGATGGTACCCATGGATCTGTAAAAGCATCAACCAACTGGCCGAAAGGACAATTCAAAAAGAATTAAATATAAAATACAATTGAATGGCTATCCAAATCATGTAATCCCTCATTAATCTGTCCTTCACACTTTTACTTCTTTCCTTTGTAGCAAGATTATGTTTGTTTATTTATTATTTCGTATATGTGTAGAAGGTGGATAAGAATGAATTATATAGTATTGTACTTTGTCTTGTGTACTTTTGAATTCATATAAATAACGGTTGTGTCCTTGCTTTTTTCATGATTTATTATATATGTTTAGTATTAAAAATGAAGCATTTCTAGGTATAATAATATGATATACGAGTCATCTCATCGACGGGGTATGTGAGAGCCGCGAGTATAGAGATGGTGTTGTAATTATATAGCTATGATGCTTTTATGAATTTGAATAATTGGAAATGGAGATACGATGGTTTATAGAAACCCGCCCAATTAATACCCCTAGTGGGCAAGCTTGCATCTCTAGTTGTTTTTTCCTATCTAGCATGAATTTTACAATATCATCTTGGTAATTAGATCAATCTAAAGATTATATTTAGATATTTTGTTAATATTTCATTTTTTATTAATTCAAATATGTTTTAGTTTAATGAAATACTTAGTTGACGAATCAATTTACTTGAAAATATGAAACTTTAACAAATAAACAAGCAGATAAATAAAAACAATTTGTTTAGAGTATAATACTTCCTCTTCTTACCAACACTCATAAAAAATAATGCAAGAACGTAATTAACTAATAGTAAAAAGGGTTTTGGCTTGATATTAGCATAATGTAGGATTTGCGTGCATATTTTTGTTAGTAAGTTATTGCTTAGTGGTTAAAGGTTTTGTATTGTTTGAATAAAATTTATTCTGATACAATAATCAAACATAATCAACATTTTGAAAACTATGATTTTTGGAATGTGTTACAGGCAGTGGCGGATCCAGAAATTTTTTATAGGGGTGTCCTCTTTCAAAAATTAAATTAAATAGTACATAAATAATAAAATATTCAATTAGTATAAATGTTCACAAAAAGCCACGATTTGTTTTCAATTTCGAAAAAAAAATATAAGATAGATTTGGTGTGTACACTGCTCAACAAATCGGTATATCCTACTATATCGCATATTCAACTTCTACCTTGTTCATGATGTAATTCAAAGTTGAAAAGACTGTTTTAACACTTGCAGTGTAACCATAAAATCAATTCAAATTAGGGTACCCCTGGGGATAAGAAATCCCGTTTTCAACATTACATAGTGTTTAAAATAGAACAACAAATGAGTTATAACATAATGGAGAAGATGTTAAATAATAAGAGTGTCCTAGGTTTGAATAACACAGAGTACTACTTATATTTTTTTAATCACGCAAACTACTATCGAGGGTAAGATAATCATTTATTACAATTTTAGGGGTATCCCAGATTACTAATTATATTTTCTTTATCCATACGAAACTACTACCGGAATTTGAATAATCGTGTTCCCAAAATTTAGGGGTGTCCCGGGATCGTTTACAACAAGAGATCAACCCTGGCAGACAGCCCTGTTCCAACCCGGCAAAAGGCAAATAAAAAGCCTTGCCTCGGGCATAGAAAAGCATCTTCGCCTATTGTCCGGGGAGGAAGGGAGATGAAAGGGCTCAACCGGTAGGGAGCCATGGCCCGAAGGAGCCTTAAGCACTTGTACAATGTTCAAGTCAAGGCTCTGGGCAAAAGGACGCAGGGGGCCTGTCTTATTATAAAGGGGGTACTCTCTTCTCTGATGTGCGCTATATTATTTTGTCGGTCCTAGAAACGGCGGCAGCGGCGCGAAGAGTTAACGACCGGGCGTGCTGCAACCCGTTCGTTCGTTCCTCCAATCTCCACAAAGTGTTTTTCCGGGATTTTTGGCAGCAGCAATGGTCTTTCTGCCCGTCCCTTTTTTAATTTCAACTAAGCTTGGCACAGCCGCCTAAGAAATTAGGTCACGGACACCCCTAAAGCAACATGTATCCGCCACTGGTTACAGGAAAATATATTTGGATCTACCACTTCATAAAGAGAATTCAACACTTAGCTTATTATTTGAAGGCACTTAGCAATGTCAAATCAGGACTAGAATGAATTTTATCAGTATTAAGTCGAAATGTATTTGAAAAACAGAAGGAAAAAGCCATTTCTGTTGGACATGAGAAATTCTTCCCTTGCGAAGAAAGGGGGAAGCTCTTAGCGAGGGCCCCATTGTCTTTTCCAATCGCCACACACGATTTGAACCAGAGGTGTTTTCGCGCCCCCTATATAAATCGGCAATCACACTTGACTGAGCCTTTGACCATTTCCCCACCAAGTTCACCCATCCAAACGAGAACGAAAAAATTTCCAAGCAGCAGAAATCAGAGAGAAAATGGTTACAGGGAATTCATTCTCAACAGGGAGCACCAGGAAGCGACTGCGCAGAGAGCGATCCATCTGCAGCTGCAAATCTCCTCGTCTCAGTCACAAATCTTCTCCTCGCTCCTTCAACTTGTAAGCTCTCTTCTCTGCGCTATGTCTCCCTCGCTCAGCGAATTTCTGGAAAGACACTTCGATTTCAAAATTCATCAATGGCTACTCATCGAGCTTTTGATCAGTGTTTCATTTACATATATGCTTTTCAACTGTTTCTTCCCTGCGCGTTCGAAGCTAAGTTTTAGAGCTCCAAACATCAGTTTCCTTTTATCTGGTTTTGAATCGGCTCTGCGGATTTCGTGTGGTTGTGTATCTGCATTTGTTTGTTTAAGCGCTGTTTGGATGCTAAGAAAACGAAGAATTAAAATCCGAATTCAAGTAGATTACCTGCTACTCTGGATTTGCGTTGCTGCTTATCTCACTCTGCAGTGGAAGGCTATGTTTAAACTGAATGCTCTCCAGTTGAACCTAGAAAGTAGAAACTGAATTCAAATCTGAGCTCCGGCCTATTTCTTCAATTTTTTTCGATTGTGATCTTAGCTTATCATCTGCGTCGGTAATTCAAATCGTTCGATCTCACTGATTTCTGGTATTCAATACGATCTCTGTGATGATTTATCCATCCTATTGATTTTCTTTTTGAATTTTTCGGTGAACTCAAGCAGTTACGAATTGGATGTGTGGACCGAGATCGCCAAGTTTCTGGACGGTAAATCTCTGGTGAAGCTCGCTTTAACCTGCCGATGGTTCCACGGCGTGATTATGCAAGACTGCGTGTGGAAGTTTGCTTGCTTGAGCCATCTTCAAGTTCCAGCTCCAGATCGTACGGAATTCAAATGGATTCAGCTCTACGCATCGGCGATCGGTAAGTTTCTTGCTACTCCGATTCAATTTTCAGCTTCTGTGGTTGCCAATCGTTAAATGTTCCTCCCTCCTCTTCTGGATTTCCTTCACTGTGATAGTAAGATTGTCGATCAAGTTGCATATCCGTCATTCTGTTCCTGATTCCACTGCCGCTCCATTGAATTTTTTCTGCTGTTATTACAGACGGAAGCCATTCTTACGCGTTCCGTGACAAGGAGAAACATCTTGGTGAATATCTCTCTTTCTTTCCAACGAAATTCTGGCGCCTTCTTCTAATGAAATCATGGTTTCGATTTGAGAAATCGGTCAGTTAATGTGTTCGTTCGTTCTTCTGTGTACCTGTAAATCAGACTGGATGAGGATCGGTGCCTTCTTCCTCGAATCACCATCAGTAATCCTTAGCCAGAGACTGACCTTACCATTGAAGATCATGAAACGTGAATCGCTCCAGAACATGTTGGGATCTGCAGGAGCCTGTTTGCTAAGCGGCCTCAGAACAGGAATCTGGATAGCAGGTAAGAAAATCCTAGAACTGATTGGCCTTGTCCTGATGATATTAACCTATCATTGAACCAATTTCGAAGTCTCATCACATGCTTGATTGATTGATGGTATTTTGTCAGATCTGCAGCTTGTTCGTTGCCCTGTTTGCGAACTTGATACTTGCGAGGGTGAGTCAGTCAGGTTGCTCTACTCTATTGGAATATGGTTCCGACAATACAAAGTTCAATTGCTGCATACTGTTAACACCAGACCAGGTCACATGCATTCATCTCGCTCAGATTAAAACTAAAACTGCTGATATTTTATCTGGGAGTGGATTCTTCTCATTGCGACTATCATTACTTAGCCTCTATACAATCGTTTGGGTTAAATACTGTCAGTAATGGTCCGAATTACGGAATGAGAGAGTCTGCTGCAAACCCTGTTTGACAGAAGATTGGAATTTCATGTATGCAGGAACAATGCAGGCACTTGATGCAAGGCATATAGAATTGTTTCTGAGTGAGGAATACCAGAACTGCAGTTGGGAGTATGAGCAAATAGGATCCCATAAACTCAAAGGACCAGCGAAGGCAGCCTCTGCTACAATTATGGACCTCAAGCACATCACTGACCGCCCAACAGCAGGTAAATGCGGCCTCCCTATATTCTTCTTCTTCTTCCGCATAACCTCGCAAGAAAATGGAGTAATGATGTGTAAGACCTGAAAGCAACATGCCAAGAACCCAGAAAGAAAGGGAAATTTTGGTGTTGCTATTTGTGAATGCTTGATTGCCAAAAGATAACTCAAATGGCCTTCTCTCCAGATGTGTTCAATCTCAAACTCTGGGCTGGACGACAGAACGATTTCCAGCCGAAAGCTATGATCACTTTCCATGCCGTTGCAATTAGCACCAACTTGCAAGCCAATCAAGGTAGCAGTAGCAGTACTAAGAGCTGAAGAACAGTAATTGCTTCCAATTTTTTGGCTCACATTTCATTTCAATTCATTTCCCATCATTGGTTCGCTTATTCACAGATTTATCTACTTTTGCCCATCTTTCAGGCCTTCTTTCAAAGTTCTACGTGATGAGAGCTGGAACTGGAGGAGAAATTGTTTCCATCAGAGTCACTCAGCAGCTCCTCTGACTCCTCTCTTCTCTCAAATCCACCTCGGTCAGCCCACACCATACGTTCCAGCCAAAGTCTTCCCATCATCAATCACACAACAAGAAACCTAGATTTAGCTTAGTCAATTCAATTTTGCAACGCATACATTATGTTGTCCTTCCAATCCTACAGTAGTTTTGTATTTCTTTGTCCATTATATTACGTATACAGTCAAGTCAATGACACTGCACACTTGGATATTGGCTCTAGAGCAAAATCAAATTGGTAAAATAGGGTCCTTAAATTTTTGAATAATTGAATTATTGGAAGACTTCAATGATATGCAAATATAAAGAAGGACGGTACCTCTGCTAATAGGAATGTGTATTACATATTTGTGTATTGGAGTTTTTTAAGTTTCGTCCTATGTTTTCCCCCCTCTCATCCAAGACTATATCCACTATTTTTCTGCAGTATATGTTTATGCAGGTCATGAAATGAAAACACACGATTCATTTTGTCGGTTTGAATTTTGTATTATTAAACTCGTATATGGATTACGCGTAGAGGTGGCAATTCTCAATCCAATCCACCAACCCATTAAAAATATCCACCTAATCCAATTCATTTAAATCCAATCCATTTAATCCAAATCCAATTGGATTGGTGGATTCATGGATCAATCAATGGGTCCAAATGGCAAATTATTGTTTGGTACATATACTTTTTATATTCTACATTTTGGTACCTAAAATTTAATTTTTATACAAAAAATCTCATTGGAAAATTATGTTTTGGTACCTAAATTTTTCATTACGATATTTTAGTACCTAAACTTTTCACATTTTACATATTGGTCCAAGGTTGAGGATGTCATTTGGATTCATGGATAATCCACCAATCCACTTGATCCAATCCTTGAATCCACCAATCCAATCCACGAATCCATGGATCGATCCATTTACCACCTCTAATTATGCGGGTTAAAAGGGTATATAATTAGGTCACTTCACTCATAAATTCAATGCAACTTAAAATAAAAGTAATCATTTATATTTGACATTGTCATATGTCATCTCCATATCTGACTTAAAAACGATCTCTTGCTTACGACTCCTCTCTAGAGTCGAATAGCTCATATTGTTCTTACCAACAAAAAAAAAGCTCATATTGCCAGTAAACCATCCATGATCCATCAACTATTGTCCATTTACAAATACACATTACCTAAAAGTGAAATTACTTGTTCCATCTCGTCTTTATCATTTCCATAAGACATTTGACAATGATGTTGTAAGTGCACTCGATAAGGTAGATCAAGTCACAAATCTCTTTATTCAAAAAAAAAAAAAAGTCACAAATCTCTAAATACTCCACTATAATCTAAAAAAATTCACTAATTCCGGCTGCCTCTAGAGTCTAGTCTAAAGTAGTCAAGTAGGTGTTGGCAATTTCTCGACTTATTATTTCACATCGTCAAACACCACTGCTTAGATAATTGTTAGTTTAGTTTCTAGTCATAATCACAATCACTAACAATACGCAATACATAATCCACTATAATTTATCGCAAACTCACAGCCTGGAACCGAAAGGGCTATAAGAAAAAGCAGCAAACCAACGCAAAAAAAGATGAGCATGCCAACTCCTAATTCAACACTATAATCACAACAATAGTGACATTCGACTCACTCACTTATAGAAGGCATTATACAAAGTGACCACTTTTGTTTTGGGCCCTCCCCCGTAATAATTTAACCCAAAAAAGCCAAACAAAGCCCATCCCTCCTGTCTCTCAACTCAACATGTCCAACAAAGCATCATCATTAAGCCAAATCAAAAATAAACTAAATAATAAATAACAGCACAAAAAATCATAGCATACAGCCGTTCTCACGCTCACACGGTATATACAATCACAAAGCAAGGAAGCACAGCCTTCGGATTAAAAACCAACAGCTCCTCTTCGTCCAGCTTGGCATGATGGAGCCCACCACCATCATCCCCGCCGCCGCCGCCGACTCCTCTCCCCATCAAGGAATCGAACCCGCCGCCATCCTTGTCCACCTCCTCCTCCTCCTCCTCCATCTCCGACCCGACCCGGCCCGCGATGACCCGGCAGACCAGCATCGCCCGCTTCACATTCATGAACTGGAACTCCTCCTCGATCTCCTCCGGAATCGCCGCGTGCGCCCGCCAGCTGGTGGAAAGCGTCGATATCCCGTCCATCTTCGGCGAGAATCCGGACTTGATTATCCCGCATACGCTGCAGTACTGCTGGTTGCAGAGGCTGCTGCTGCTGCTGCTGCTGAAACCCGACCCGAACCCGAACCCGCCGTTTAGCCCCAAATCGCAGACGAAAGTAGCGCAGTGGAACCTCAGCAGCTCGTTCCCGTCGGCTATGCACCGCTCGTCCCTCCTCCGCCCTTCTCCTCCGATTTTGGAGGCCTTGGATTTGACGAACTCCCTGTACTCCTCGAACCGGGTCAGGATCTTGGGGCTGTTGTGGATCTTGAGGATCCGGCGGATTTCAGGGGTTTTGTCCTTGCAAGACCACCCGGCCTTGAATATGATCCGGACGATGTTGTTCCCGGAGTCGCCGTCGCGGAGCTCGGAGACGGCGTGCTTGACGGCGAGGTGCTGCTCGAGGAGGCCCGGCTTGGGGAGAATCTCGCCGCAGGCGGTGCAGGGGAAGATGTCGTTTCGGAGCGGGAAATGATGGTCGGCGGTGGAGATGTCCGATTCTTGCGGCGGGAGAGGAGGATTTGTCGCACCGTCTTCTTCCGGGAACGAATTGATGATTTGGTCGGGAGCGATCATGGAGACGATTGATTTCTGGGACGATCTGGCGGAGGTGAGGACAGGGGAAAGTGGGGGAGGCGGAGGCAGGGGATTTGTGGGTTTGCAGGAGAATACGCGTTTGATGTATGACCAGGAGGAGACGAGGGCTTTGGTAGCGGTGGTGGATTGTCTCAGGCGAGGAGCCGGCGGAGGGGAGTGGTCGCCGGCGAGGGGTGAAGTGGTTTTGCGCTTCCTTGACCTTGAGGTGGGTGGAGGATGGCGGGAGGAGGGATCTCGGTCTTTGGGGAGGAAAACGAAGCAGCCGAGGTGGAGGAGGAGAATGAATAGAGAAAGGAATCGGCTGAAAGCTGATCCTAGGCTGGCCATTGCTCTTCTTTCCGAGGTGATGGACGGAGCTTGCAGTCAAGCTTTGCGTAGGTTTAGCCAGGATCATCAAATAAGCATTGCTTTCTTTCTTTTTTTTTTTTTGGTGCGAGAGAAAGCGAGGGAGGAGAGGGAAAAGAACATAAACAAGCCAATGGTGGGTGGCCGTGGCGATGATGAAAAGCAAGCACAATGCAAAAAGCAAAATAACGCCGTTATTTTTGTTCAGGCAGTTAAATGTCACTGTGTCTAGTTAGTCAAACATGCGATCTCAGCTTTCAGCAATGCATACTTGCAGTAAATTATGGCAAAGGATTACAAACGAAAATTTATAAGATCCATTATATTGACTATTCAAAAGAAAATGAATTTCGATTTCTGTATTTTTATTTATTTTAAAACAAATGTAAATGTAAAACCTTCAACATTGAAGGTGTGAATTTTTCGTATGTATAATTATATAAACTCAAACAGATCCATTTAGGTTCGATCCAAATGAGTTGATCCAAATTGAATCCAATCCAAATCTAAACCCAAAAGTATTAAGAATACATATGACTTCATTTGAGTCCAATTTAGTACCCATATGAGTCATGACAATTGGGTCCAGTTACACAATGAATTGACCCATTGTCATCCCTAATTATCACTCCGTGCAGAGTTTGGGGTCATCTCAAGGATATGGAGCCAGTATAAGTTGCAAACACAGGAGGGTTCGATACATCTATGCGTACAGAAAGAATAATTTCTCAATTAGCCTATTGTCTAGCACATAATTAAGAGGTATTATTTGCTATTTATGTTTCTTATACTCGCCATTAGACTTTGTATGATCCTACGAACGATTTTAACGGTGGATCAGATAGTAATACTTTACACTTACCGTAAAAGTAATTATCAAGTGTGCCAAACAAAGTTATCATACAGTAATTTTATTAAGTGATCACTGGTGATTTGGTTACTTTTTGTTGGATGGGAATACTTGGACTGCTTTAATTTTCATTTGAGGAAGGGGGAGTGAAGGGAATGGAAGAATTGGGAAAAGTGGGATTACGATTAAGCTAGAGTAGGTAGAAAGAAAGCTCAAGGGTTGAGGTTGAGGGGCAGACAAATGTGTCCATCAGACATGTCTGTCTGTGGGAATTATATATATATATATATATATATATATATATATATATATATATATATATATGTTTCATTTAATTTCATCATACGCACAGTGACAGTAACAGTACGCCAAGGTTGTCAAACCGGTTTAAGTCATTGAACCGGTCAAGTAAGGGGTTTGAGGTTTAATGGTCTGATCGGGGTCCGGCCGGTTTGAGCCGTTTTAGACATTTTCTAAATATATATACAAATAAAGTAGTAATTAACAATTTAATGAGTGAAATAAAATTTATCTTACATATATCTATTAAAAACTTATTTTCAACAAAATAAATTTACCTAACCTCCATGATCCACCTACCATTTCCCTTCCTTCGTTCCTTTTCCTCTCTTCTGCTTCTCTTCTTCTCCCTGTTTAGGGGTCAGACCGGAGGGTTTTCTGGAGGCCGTTTTGAAGCCCGACTCGGGTTAAACCGGGTCCAACCGGGGGGTTCGATAAGGATTTAACAACCTTGCAGTACGCCCGCCCAACCTGACCATTTCTTCCATCTACTGGGGCCACGTTTCAAGAGAGCTATAATTAATTATCCAAGGTCTCACCACCTTTCGCATTATCACCTTTTGGTTTGGAAGACACTATTACAATAGTTCTTAGTCGTTTCTAAAAGGCAAGCCCCCAGCAAGCAGAGAGGAGAAGGCTGATGTGTGTCCAAAATCCAAATCATCAACAATTCCGTCTCATCGATGATTGTAAAACCATACTGAAAATATATCGGAGAAGTAAATTATTGGGTATTATGTATTAAACCCGTGCTGTTTCTTATCATTGAAACTAACTATAATTTAGAATTCTATATATAATATTTTGCTATCGAACTTACCGGTATAGTAGAATTTCTAAAACATTGGTTTTTATTAACATAGTTTAGGGAGTCCGGATCTGGTGACTAAGGGGGGGTGCTTAGTCACTTGGCTAAGCCCCCCTCAGCCTTTAGATTAATCTAATGGTCCAGATAAAGTGTTCAATTATTATTAAATGAAAAGGGTAGTTTTGGCATTATCATAAATTCATTAATTCTTAATTTCAGTTTTATTTTATTTTTTTCCTTCCTCTCCAACCGTCTCCTTCTTTCACGTTCAAAAAGAGAGAGAGAGGGGATGGAGATGCGGGATTTCAACGGCGACGGTGAGAGAAGGGCCGACGGCGACGATGGAGAAAGAAAGAAGATCTCGACGGCGTTGATGGAGAGAGGAAAAGGCGTCGCGACGGAGGCGGTAGCATTGGAGAGAGAGAAAGTAGATCTAGAGAGAGGCGATGGCGGAGAGAGAGAGGCGATGGCGGAGAGAGCTTCGACGACGATGGAGGAGAGAGAAGCAGCGCGGTGATGGAGAGAGAGAGGTAACGACGGCTGTAGAGAGAGTCGGCGGCGGCGGTGGAGAGGACATCGTCTGAAGGAAGAACAGTGATTTGTATAGTTTGTATGTTTTGTAACATTAGTTTGTATTGTTAGTATTTTTGTACAAAATGTAAGTATGGTTTGTATAGTTTGTATGTTTTGTAATATTAATTTGTATACTTTATATGTATTGATTTGTGCTGCAAATCACGTCGCTTTGTATTGTAAGTACTAATAATTTGTATACTTCATATGTATTGATTTGTGATTCAAAAAACATTACAAACATATTTGACAAAAATGACAAACATGTGGACAAAAATAACAAACATTACAAACAATACAAAAGAAACCAACAAACATTACAAACATTACAAAATAACAAACATTACAAACATTGCAAACAAACATTACAAACAAACATTACAAAGCATACTACACGTACAGAATGAATACAAACTTGTATTACAAACTTGTATTACAAACAAATGAATACAAAGTATACAAATCATAACATAAAAGTATACAAACTTGAATAACAAAAGTTACAAATACAAACCAATGAATAGAAAGTGTATAAATCATAACATAAAGTATACAAACTAGACAAACAAACATTACAAACATTACAATGTATACAAAATATTACAAAGCATTACAAACAAACATTACAAAGCATACTACACGTACAGAATATCACTACATTACAAAACATTACAAAACATTACAAAAATAACAAACATTACAAACAATACAAAAGAAACCAACAAACATTACAAACATTGCAAACAAACATTACAAACATTACAAACAAACATTACAAAGCATACTACACGTACAGAATATCACTACTTACAATACAGATTGGTAAACTTGTATTACAAACAAATGAATACAAAGTATACAAATCAAGGTTGTTAAACCCCTATCGAACCCCCCGGTTGGACCCGGTTCAACCCGAGTCGGGCTTCAAAACGGCCTCCAGAAAACCCCCCGGTCTGACCCCTAAACAGGGAGAAGAAGAGAGGCAGAAGAGAGGAAAAGGAACGAAGGAAGGGAAATGGTAGGTGGATCATGGAGGTTAGGTAAATTTATTTTGTTGAAAATAAGTTTTTAATAGATATATGTAAGATAAATTTTATTTCACTCATTAAATTGTTAATTACTACTTTATTTGTATATATATTTAGAAAATGTCTAAAACGGCTCAAACCGGCCGGACCCCGATCAGACCATTAAACCTCAAACCCCTTGCTTGACCGGCTCAATGACTTAAACCGGTTTGACAACCTTGATACAAATCATAACATAAAAGTATACAAACTTGAATAACAAAAGTTACAAATACAAATCAATGAATAGAAAGTGTATAAATCATAACATAAAGTATACAAACTAGACAAACAAACATTACAATGTATACAAAATAGTAATATAAACATTACAAACATCACGAACTCAATACTGTTGCCGGAAAATCATCCACCACCGTCTCTGGTCGCCGGAAAACTGCTCCGCCGTCGCCGGGAAAGTTGACAAGAACTCTCTCTCTCTCTCTCTCCCTCCCTCCCTCCCCGCCACCGCCCACCAGGGAGCCAAATAATTCCAATGGCAGGTCTCTTGGGATATATTCTCAAAGGAAGGGGAATTATGGCGCCGTCCCAAATTGGCGCCGTCCCGGGAAAAATGGGCTGCCGGCGAATTACACGCCACAGGAGTGAAGGATCGGCCGGCGGGAAGGTTCGGAAGTCTCTGGGGAAAAAAACCAGGCCGCGCGGAGAAGGGAAAGGATAGGGGCTGAATATTTATTTATTTTAATTGGTAAATAAAAATTAAATAATTAAATTACTACGTTGCCCTTCATTAAATTGGATTAATCAGGGCCATTGGATTTTAATGAGATGGAAGGGCTGAGATTCACTTAGTCACATGACTAAGGGACCCCCCCTTAGTCACCTGATCTTAGCCCTAGTTTAGGGATATATCATACAACGTTGTATCACTTTCCGACAAAATTACACCACCATGGTAAACCAAGTTATATAATACTGCATAAGTGCATAATCATAGGTTACCTAACTAGAGCCTAGAGATTATGGGAGGAGTTACGGTGCTAATAGTACAATAGTTAGCACCGTTCTAACCAAGGGAAAAACTACTACTAGTTTGAATTGGTAGTGATTTAGCTTAGATGTTGTATTGATTTTATAATAATCCGTAGTGATTTCGTTATTTTTAGTAGCGTTTTTTGCTAGTTATCACACCTAATCCCATCCCAGAGATTATGCAAGGAAACGCAAAACCGTTATATTCATTAGGTGTTAAGGCAATAGAAAATTCACAAACAAAAAAATCGAGGATAAAAAAATGCCAACATTTCTTAATATATGTTACTACTTAATTACTAGTAACAATAAATTTTAGAAATTGGTTTCACTTAATGTTACAGAACGTATTTGAGTAGTTAATATAAAGCAAAATACACTTGTATAGTCAAAACTTTCGCGTTTGTGCTAATAATAGACTAACAGAGTGACTAGACTAACAGCAACGGTTGACGTGGCATATTTTATTCCGAAATAATGACATGGGGAAAATCATTAAAATTTTATCCTTTAATTTTAATTAAATTAAATAAAAAATATAAAAAAACAACAATCTCGCTTATTTCCTCATCTCCATCAACGAAAAACAATTTTCTCCTCACTGATTTCCTCTCAAACTCCTGACGGCAACCTCCCTCACTGGCTCACTGCTGCTTCCCACCTTTCGCAGCTGGCTCTCCTTGCCGCCTTGACCAGCGACCGGAGGGACTCCATTCTCCCGACGACAGAGCTTGTTTACGGTAGCGATTGCATATGAAGCAAGCGGCGGGTGAATCTGGAGGAGGATGCGGGGTCACCTGGGGCATTGAAATTGGGGAGGAGGAGGAGGAGGAGGAGGAGGAGGAGGAGGAACAGGGGAAGGAAAGTGGATCTAGGGAGTTGATTTTGCTTCTGCAGCGTGGAGCTCGTAATCAAGACCTGTGGAACCACGAAGCTCCTCGCCGCCATGACGCCGATTCTGGATCTGGCCGGCTATCTCTCCCTCTCTTTAGATCTCGGAATTTCAAAATCAAGCAATGGCGGTCAACACCTCGCCAAGCGAATTCGAGAAGCGACTCTGATTCTGAAGCGTTACCTCTCGTTCTTCCCGTTTCGCCACTCAAGTTTCCTCTTTGCATTCCGATTGAAGAAATCATCTCGGGCTTCTCGATCACTTGAAAACAGTAACCCTAGAGAATATTTTGAGGTTTACCCAGATTGATTTGGCGAGAACAATCGATGTGCATATACCGCTCGACGAGCTCCTCCACCTCCCCCGTCGTAAGCGGGTCACCCATGACCCAATTCTTCTCTTCCAGGTACTGCTCTTGATCCACAACATTCGATTCCGCCGGAGCAGCGGTGCCCGTCCATTCCCTGTCGAGACGACGCGACCCAAACGGCGAGAACCTCTTCTTTTCTCGATAACCAATTGGATCGACCAACGGGTTGTAATCGTAAGAGTATCTGAAATCAAAAGGGAGGTCGGATTTCACCGGCAGCTTGGGGTGCTCGGCGGGTATGGTCGTGGTCTTCTTGTCCTGGGACTTGGGTTGCTTCTTTTAGGGTTTGGGTGGTTTCGTGCGTTTGGAGATGACGGAGAATGGCGGGTCATATGGGTCTTCCGATTGAGAGTGAATGAAGAGTGGAGATGTACGAGTAGGAGGGTAAGTAGAAGTCCAGCAGTAGTAGTAGTAATATCCTTCATCCAGTTTGAAGCTCTCCTCTCTCAATCTCTCAAGAATAGGGGTGGCAGTTTGGTTATTTCGGTTATAACCGATAACCGATTGGGCGGTTATCGGTTAACCGAAATAAACGCCCCCTTACCAAAAATTGACCGAAATAGGTTTCGGTTTCTCGATTACCTCGGTTATCGGTTAACCGAACCACTTTTAAGACCAAAAACCATTTTGGCTAGCTTCCGATAATCGACCGAAGTTCGGTTACCGGTTAGTGGATAACCGGTCGGATATCGATTTAACCGGTGGGTTAACCGATAATCGATAACCGAACTGCCACCCCTACTCAAGAACAAGCTCCTTGCCTCAAGAACGAAAAGAACTCTCTCTCTAACAGTACCAACGTCAATGAAGAGAGAGAAAGGGAAAATGAGATTGGGAAGGGAAAATTAATTAATTAATTATTTTATTTATTTTAATTAATTAATTAATTTCTGACGTGTAATTATTAAATAAATTTAAAATATGATGTGTCACTTTCTGCTTATTTGGGGCTGATGTGTGCTGAGTAGGAGCTTAGTCAGCAAATTGTCAAAGAACTTGACGGTGTTACTAATATCATTAAAGTATCTAACGAAAATGTCTAGATTTGTCATACAACAACTAGAAAATTTGGCTATAAGTGGTATTTCTCCAAATTTAGTTATTATTGGCACAAACGCGAAAGTTTTGACTATAAAAGTGTATTTTGCCTTAATATATATAACATAAAAGTCTTATGAACAAGAAATTGAATATCTACTGATAATATCACTAGAATTAAATATCTAAAAGTTCCATATTCGAATCTTTTAAGTAGCATCATCAACATATCTCACCCTGAAAATATATAACACAATAGTCTTTTCCAATGCAAATGTGAGATTCCATCTGCCGAATTTATTGAACAATGCGATTCAATCCAAAAAAAAAAAAAAAAAAATCTGGTATGGTCTAAATCAAACTAACGCGATGAAGACCACTTAATTAAGAAACTTTATTTTTATATATGAACCACCGACGAATTTTGTATTCTGGAGAAGCCATATATATATATATGAACGAATCTGATGCATTAGGATTAGGGAAAGCGACCTACTAACGCGATCGATGGGATGCAACTCCCACTTCCTCCTCGCCGACATGCCATGCCATGCCAGGGCTCTCATCATGCTTTATCATTTTACACACAACTCAAACAAACAGATTTTAGAGTAACAGTTACAGTAGTAATAATGCATTTAATTAACAAATAACACCAGCAATCAGCTGCATGCTACACCTAGTATATATGGTACATGTTTCAATTCATGGATCAATAAGACATGGGTAGAGTTTCACACGAACATAACTGTTCACGAGTGACTCAAGGTTCGGATAGAGTAAAAACTCGTCTGATATTGGACTTGTTACTTAAGGAATCGACTCTCGAGCTAATTCATCCGTACCGTAAATGAGTTGAGGTTGAGATTGTTTTTCTACGATAAAACTTTTATTACAAATTCTGATATACTAGATCGGGCCAACGGATTAGATTGGAATGATAACCTTGACGTACAACCATTCAGCCATTCCTCTAAGGGATGAGAATCCAATGCAACTCTTCTGCATTTATTCGCACCGTATCCAGTGGCTTCCCCACCACAAATTTGCCTGATTATGTGGTTGTTTTTGGCCGGATTCCAACATCTCCGACGCCATTGCACGTGACTGACTCCATCTATGCTGCTACCTATCCGTTGCTGTATATATGGTGTACGTACTCAAATTAATTAATTCTTATTATTTAGTTTACTCAGTATATATGTACATCGACCGACACCTTAGCTTATTTGCAGCATCTGCAAGAGTTCTTCTTTCCTCCTTGTTAATGGCGAGATTCTCTGTGCTCTGCCACCTCCACTCGAGGCAACGTTAATCCCTGGTTGTTTTTCGGTTTGTTTTGATGGTAAAGCCAAATTAAGCCCTGGTTTTCAGTGTCCCCTAAAGACAGGTTAAATCAAAGATTTGGCTTTAAACCCCCTCTTCGATGATGAGAATCTTTGTCCTTTTCCTTGAGTTAGGGATAAATGTAAATAGGAAGAGAATACTCTATCTTCATAATTTGCATCGAAACTCGTAGCTGCTGACGAGTCAAGAAGATTTCCTCAGATATTGATATGTTTCACCACTTCATGTTTGATCGAGTGGTATAATCAGATCTAGTGTTTTGTCACTTTTAAATCTTAACGAGATAATTGGCTCGCGCTTTGTGGCGGGTACATGTTTATAATAATTTAGTTTATATTGAATCGGTTTAGAGCGAATTGACCTCTTGATTTGATGATAAATCGGAACTGGAAAAAAAATCAAAACTGGAAATCGAACACGTATTTACCTGGTATCACTAGAGTTTCCAGGACTAATCCACAGAAGAGCTTGAACGCCCTTCGACTACTAATGTTTCTGATCAGCTTTGTTAAGAACAGACTGAGCTAGGAGACCTACAAATAGCCAACTCCAGCCTAACCCTAGCACCACGTTTCAGCATCTTCTACGTGGGCAATTATGGGTTGCATGGGCTTCAGCACTAATTTCACCAAGGGCCCACTACACTACACATTTACATTAAGAATACAAGAAAGCAGATGAGCAATATATTCAACAGCCTCCCCAAATTGATACTGGTTCATGAGTATCAATTTGTTAGACAGAAATCGATGACGACCTGTTGAAAAAGCTTTAGTGAGCAAGTACGCAACCCGATCTTCAGTTCAAACATAGTGTAGAGCTAGTAATCCATCTCGAACTTCATCCCGAACATAATGCATATGTATCTCTATGCGTTTAGTTCGGTCATGCAGTATCGGGTTCTCTTCTATCCGAATCGCGCTGGTATTATCGACATACAAGTCCACAGGACCTGTACTATCAACACCCATGTCAATCAAAAGTGGGCGCAACCAAGTCAGCTCTGAAGTAACATCCGACATCGCCCTATACTCGGCCTCTGTGGAAGATTTAGACACTTTATCCTGCTTCTTGCATCTCCAGAAAATGAATGTGTTCCCGAATTGAACACACCATCCAGTGGTAGACCATCTAGTGTCAATGCACCCACCATAGTCTGAATCAGAGCAAGCTGGCAGAGTGGTCGTCCCTATATAACGAAACAGAATACCCATATCCTTCGTCCCCTGCAAGTACCGAAGTTTACGAAACACAGCTGCCAAATGATCTGTGCGAGGATCTGCCATGAATTGACTAACTAGCTGCACAACATATGAAATATCTGGCCGAGTCATAGATAAGTAGATAAGACTTCCGACGATACTCTGATATTGTTTGCCATCCTTGATTTTCTCGCCCGAGCCCTTACCCAATTTGAGATTGTACTCCGTTGGAGTACTAACTGACGTACAGTCTTCCATATTATAGTCACTCAAAAGATCAACAATATACTTCCTTTGACTGAGAAATATTTCTGCCTTGCTTCGAGAAACTTCTAGCCCCAGGAAATAAGATAACTCTCCCAAATCCTTGATCCGGAACGCAGCCTGTAACCCTTCTTTCAAGCTACGAATCCCATTAAGATCCGACCTTGTGATGATCATGTCATCTACATACAGAAGCAGCAGTACAATCCCCTGCGATGAGGTCTTAAGGAACAAATACAAATAATTTAAACTTTGACTGACACGTCCCGTCTCTTTTCAAAAACCAAATCATAACTCAAACCAAAAACTGGTTACTCCGGAGCAACCCAACCACATTTTAAAATAAACAAACTGACATCTTTTAAGAATTTTTAACGAAAAGCCCCAACACTTGGGCAAAATTCTCAACCTCAAACACTTAAAACGACTTAACACAGAATCTCCAGTTTATACTAATAACCATGAAACAGAAAAATTAGCTAATCTAACTTGACTCCTCACGAACTTTCCGATAACCCGTCGACGCTGGTACTGCTGCTCGCCTCGCTCTACTTCTTCTCGTGATTCACTTCTGCTTGACTATCCTCAACCTGGTGAGTGAGATGGGGTCAGTCTCGTCGTTATTTCCTAAGGTCTTTGCCCTAGGCAAACTCCTTACTAAACACATTATTAGGGGAATGCCTTCCTTAGACGAAAGTCGTTCTCACTTTCATCCTTAACGACTTATTCCAACATAACCAATAAAAGATCTCTACCCTTATCCTTATCTCATAGAAGTTATTTACTTATATCCTTAACACAACACAAAACAATGGGACCACCGCATTACGTCTCGCCGTCTGGTGTCCCTACCCTAATATGCCAACCGCGTTACGTCTCGTCTTCCGGTTGCATACCCCAACTCGGTAATGACACTGCGTTACGTCTCGCCGTCCAGTCCATGCCCGTCAACTACTGCGTTACGTCTCGCCGTCTAGTAGTGACCCAACCGCCCGGGGGTTCCTCATACTATCCATCCATACAAAATCACATACATTCATACATAGCACAACGCGTGCCTCCACCCTTACAGGCGGTGGGATGCTTCGCACACATATCGCGCATACTAGAAAATTTAACTAAATAATAACTTGAACGAAAAGCGGAAACTAAAAGACCTACGACAGAGATTTTACCCCCTTTACACTCACCTCTTTAGCCGCATCAACGTCTGCATTCTCACGCTCAAGCCCGCGCGTTTTTCCTCTTTTGGATCCTCCTCTATCGGTTCATCGTCTTCCTCTTCAACGACCCTAACCATTGGAGCTCCGACGCCATTCTCTTCGAGGTCCCTCCTCGGGCCACAATTCGGCGGCCA